TATATAGATATAGATATATAGATTAGTATTGTTTATGGTAAGTTATAAATACGATATTGAATATTGAACTCTTATTTAGATAAATGTTATTACACGCTATTAAAATTGATGATAAATATAATTAAAATTATATAAAATCCCCCCTATATATTAATTCAGAACGCGCTGAGCCTACGTGGCTGCTTCTGGTGCTTCGGAATCCTATGTGGCAAAATTACATGCTTCGTTATTAGGCTTCGGTAAATTTTAATTTAATTCCAAACCAAACATAATTAGGTTCGGATTACCATAAATATGTTGATTATTTATGGTCATGTTACATGTATTAATTGCATTTTAATTTCATTCCTTATTATAACTATAGAATTGTATATATATTTTAAAAGTTAATAACTTTTGTATTTTTTATCAGTTTTACATATGTAATATATCAAATTAATCTTCTTTTCATGAGCTTCGATTTAACATCCATCTTGTATGTATAAAAAAATAATTTATATTTATCTTTATAACAATAATAAAATTATTTTTAATATTAATTAAAAAAATTATTTATCAACTAATATATTTATATTTCAAGTAGTTATGATATAAGTTATAAAAACTAATATAATATAACACATGTAAGTCATAAGTAACACATATCATTCTAAAATATATAGTAATATATTTTTTCTTATAAAAAAGTAAACCAAATTTAATATAATTTTCTCATTAATTTTAAAATTTAAGAATAATTTTTAACAAGCACCCGTATAATACACGGGTGTTGTACTAGTTATACATTATATATAAAATAAAAAAATTGTATATTAATTAAATCAATTTAATTACTGTCCCCACTAGTAAATCATTAAACCAATAACTTTAAACAACGAACAAAATTAATTGTCATTTTCTCTGTCTACATATTTTCTCGATATACGGAACAAATTCATATTTTCTAATTAAAGAAATACTACCTCCTATTCATTATAAATGTCGTTTTGACTTTTTTGATTCATCCATTTTAATATGTATCTAGTCATTAATATGTCTAGATACATATTAAAATGGATGAATTAAAAAAGTCAAAACGACATTTATAATGAATAGGAGGGAGTATATGTTTACAGGCAGCACGAAACAGTGCCCAAATTATCTAGGGTTTGAAATCCCTCCCTCCATTTTTGGGGGCACTGTTTACCTTTTCTTTTCCGTCGCTTTTTCACCTCAATCTTCATTCATATTTTCCCCGGGGAAAATGATTTACCCATTCAGCTCCTTTTGGGTCTCCAAGACGTAATCAATCTCGTGATGGTGAATGTTTTCCCTGGAAATCTTCAGCTCCGTGGCTATGACTTTCCTTATCCTCACCGAGCTGCGAGGTAACCAAAATGCGCATGATTCGTACGTTTGAGTTGCAAGTTCTGTTAATTTCGAGCTTGATTTTTCATTTGCCCTAATTTTGCAGCGAATTTTTGGAGCAATAATTTGAAGCGAATTTTTTGAAGCTTTGATCCGTTACCTGTAGATTGAGGTGAAGAACAGGGGAATTAGCACATGACCTGAAAGAATATCTGTTGGTATATGCCGGGGAAGGCACTGGAGCCTTTGGTTTCCACGATTTCACATGTGACATTTGTTCGTTGCTGGCGCCTGCTCGTAATTTGTTTGACAGGGGTTTTCCTGGTGACAGTTTTACTCGTCAATGGAACTCGAGAATCCTCCCACGTCGATCAGCCTCCCGAAATTCTGCAACTGCGGCTGCAACTGCAGCTCCTCCACGATAAAGAGGTCCTTTTCAGAGACTCATCTGAGGACCGTGAAGCGTAAATACAATGAATTCGAGGAAGAAAGCCGGTTCACCATTCCAGGGTTCATCTTCCCGCAGAATGCCCGTGTGGAGATTTGGAATGAGTGCACGGCACTTCGTGAGATGGTCAGCAGCCAGCAGAAGACCATTCAGGACCTCATTTCCGAGCTGGAGGAGGAGAGGAATGCCTCCTCGTCGGCGGCCAACGAGGCCATGTCCATGATTCTCCGGCTGCAGAGGGAAAAGGCAGAGATCCAGTTGGAGGCCAGGCAGTTCAAGATGTTTGCGGAAGAGAGGATAGCGCATGACCAGCACGAGGCTCTGGCTCTTGAGGATTTGTTATATAAGAGGGATCAGGCTATAATGTCTCTCACGTGTGCCGTGCAGGCATACAGGCACAGGATGATGAGCTATGGGCTCACAGAAGCCGAAGCTGATGAGGACGGGTTGCCGGTTCCAAACAATTCTAGTGTGGCTGAAGTCTTGGATCGGCAGTTTGAGTTTCCTCCTTATGATTATCCTCCTCTTAGGTGCATGTCAAACGAGTCTCGGGCTTATCCTGATGGTGAGAATGGGAGTCCCTATTTTGAGAAGTATGTGCACGGGGAGACTCCTTGTTCTCGGAATCAGTTGAAGGATTTGGAGTATAGAATTAATCAGCTGGAGAGAAGTCCAAAGGTGGTTCAGCTGGATGGAGAATTCAGTTGTCCGAAAAATGTGCTCGAGAAGGTGATAGTTGGTCACTCTCCAAGAACACCGAAGCATCTCAGGAAGCTTTCTGCCGATAGCCTGCAATCACCTTTTGCAGTGGTTAGAGAAATCGAGCCAGATTTCTTCAGAGATTCTCCAAAATCTGCAAAGAGTTTCAGAAAGGGCGAATTTTCCTATATTCAGGAGAGTTCTAATTTGGGAAAAGCAGAAACTGGATCAGATGCTGGAGATGATATGAGTGACAGAATTTATACAATTGATTCAGTTTTTCAGAGAGCTCCATTTAATCGTCTCGTGGATTCCAAGACTTCTTTTTGCGCCGGAATTGATGAATGTGCGGTATCTCCTAAGGAAACACTGAATTCCGCTAGAGATATAGAGATCCAGAAGCTGTATGCGAGGCTTCATGCTCTTGAGGCGGATCGAGAATCAATGAGGCAAGCAATTATATCGATTGGGACTGATAAAGCACAAGTGCTGTTGTTGAAGGAGATGGCTCTAAACTTGTGTAAAGAAAGGCCTCTGGGAAGGAAAATGCCAGTCAGGAAGGAATCAGTAATAGGGAGTTTCTTTTTCATGTCATTTTTCAAGGTAATTGTGATAAGAAACAATATAAATGTTTCTTTATATATCAAACACTTCATCTGTTTAATGTCTTCAGATCTCCATTTTGTTGCTCTATATCTTTGTATATTTTTCTCTATGTATCCTGCTGCATTTTCTATGAATTATTATTATGGTATACAGCTTTTAGGGAAGGCGATTGATGTTCTGAGTATCTATGCCCATTTTTTTTTTTTTTTATCTGTCAAATAATGGAAGCAGAAGCTTTCATCTATGCCCAATTTTTATGCCTTATCTTCCAGGACAGTCTTCAGACTAAGGACCTGTTCTTGCAGATTGCATGACATGTTGCTGTCTTATTCATTAGAGGGCAATGTAAAAATAGTATGGTCGTGTTATTTCCAAATGTGTGTTCTTTAGTGGTAGTTAGCAGTGTATTTTCATAAGTTACTGAAAGCCATATCTCTAGAATGTTTCTTTTAATATAGTTCCACCAGATGCATTTCAGGAATTGATGAAATTACTGAGTTTAGTTTTGTGACATACTTAGAGTATTGCATAGGTTCTAAGGGATACAGAAGAAATCTAGAGTTCGGGGAAAGCGCCTTTCTGCTTAAATCTCGGTTTTGCAGTGTGCTATTTTGGCATCAGTGGGCGGTTGACGTGATATAATGAAAGTGGATAGTTACTCCTGTTTGTTGCTACTTTTGTGGGCTATTATGCTTTGCTCCATCTGCTTGAGATCATGCTTTTTCCTTAAAATATACTCCCTCCATCTCAGAAAGATAGGCTACCTTTTCATGAAAGGTGACCCTGAAAGACAGCTTGGTGAATTTCATAGAGTATATTATCTTTATGACAATCAATATAATAGTCATGGAGTAAAATAATAATTAATCTACATTAATCTATAGTAGCATTTACTTTCCATAGTACAAATAATAGTGTTTCCATAAACTATGTGGAGATTATCATAGGACCA